TGATGCGTTAATGCCAGCAGAGATGAATCTGATTCAAACACAAGTCCCTGTGGCCCACTGCAGCACTGTGATGTCCGGGCTGAAAAAACATCACCGTGCTGAGGCTGTGTGGGGTGGGGAGTAATGTGGTGGGGCTAGGCCTCTGTTGTACCTGGGGCACAGACAACTCCAATGCAGTGGTGATGTCTCTCCTTAGCCAGCAGCTACCGTGATTATCTGTGTCTCCTTAAGCCCCCAGAGGACCTGGTGGTCGCTGGATTTGGCTCAGTGGAGATAACTATCACTGTCCTCCCATTTTATTATTTTTTTTACAGGGAAGAGAGGGAGACAGAAACAGCTGCAATGGTCTGGTGGCACTTGACACATCTTGTAGCATCAGTCTTTTTGGCAGCAGGTGCAAGCTACCTTTTGAAGCTTTTTATTCCTTTTTTTTTCTAACTCGGCAGGAGAGTAGTTTTGAAGTGGGTTCATCACAGTGTAAAATAAAGGCAAACCTATAATCAAAACGCCAGGTTGAGATTAGGGTTGTGGAGCGTTGGGCTGCTTGCTCTATTGTTACATTTGTATTTTCCTGAAGCTTTTTGTGCTGCAGTTCCTCATGAGCAGAAGATTTAAGATTGTGCTGCTTTTCTTGAACTCTTTGTATGCCTTAACATCAGCTGTATACCAAAGGAGAGGTATGATCCATTTTAAAATGTGTGTAGTGCTTATTATGTTAATTGCCGGGTCCTTAGCTAAGCCTTCTAGATGATTTTGTAGGACAAATATTAGGGGCACAATGTTATTCCTATTCATGTGGCACCAAGAAATAAGGTTTGCAGGTATGGGGGAAACCCTTTCTTTGCTTTCTTCAGACTTTTCCTCAGTGGAGCAAAATACACTGGACTGAAGTTGTTTTTTAACTTTCTATCATCAATAAGTAATGTAATTACGTTGTTAAAATGTGTCAGGCCCTGCTCTTTAAAACCAGGTATAACTACTAGTACAAAAGCACAGCCCAGAGTGAGATGACAGCAACTATACCCAGAAGTGACATCTCAGGTAAGCAGGTTGTTTGCAAATGTACCCAAGCCCTTGACATGTTCACTGTGGCTGACTTCAAAGATGACAATTTTTCTGAGGCAGGGTGGGGTGTGTTTTTTGGTTTTGGTGTGCTGCATGGGGTCACAAGTAGGTAATCAGAAAAGACCGAGTTACTTTACCAAGAAATCACAGTTTGCAGAATAGGGTGAGAATGAGGACAACCACGTATGGCTGCACACACACATATGCATATGTATTTATACATTATATATATATATATATATATCTTATTACATGTAAGATATAAATATTTATATATGGTATGTCAGATGTATGTATATCTTCTTGATGGCAGCACTATAGAGAGCTGTAGTCTTCCAGGGATTGCTGCCTTCAGAATTATTGTGGTTATCCAAATACCAATGCAGAGGGCCGCACTGTGACCTCACTGAATTGCATTAGATGGGAATGTCAATATACACAATTAACTATCTATTGACCTTTATTTCTGAGCTATTTTAGGCCACCAGTCTGGCTGTACAGGATAACTCTCTAGCACATATCTCCTAGGGCTTGTCATTGAAGCTGATATTCATCCAGAGTGAAGGGCATGAAAGTCCACAGTGACTCAGCAAGTGATTCTGGGGTTAGACGGGTGAAATTCAAGCTTAGGATACTTGTCAGAGAATGAGCATGGCAGAAACTCCCTATCATAAGGAGTGTTTTAAAACCTATTACTGCTGCCCATGTCATAAGTAGCTAGTTTACCCAAAGGTGCTACCACCTGGGAGGATGCTTCTGATGCGTAAAGGATGATGGTAAAGGCTTTGATTGCTTATTTTCTCAACCTTTTTAGAGCTAAGCCTTGCATGGGAGAGCTGTCAGTGCTACAAGCTAGCTGGATCCACCTCTCTGCTGCATTCTGCCATAACATCACCTCTTCTTTGTCCTGTTCTGGTCCAGGGCTGCTGGTATTTCTTCCTTTATTCTTTGCTGTGGCTTTCTTACTTCTTGGGCAGCAACTTGCATTTTTTTTTTGTTCTTCTTACTGTTAGAGACTCATTGCTGTAACTAACTAATGTTCCTCTGGCAAGTGAAGCCAGGGAAGTGACTGACGTTAAACAAGCTCAGCAAAATAAGTGGTTAGTTTGGCCGTACCTCAGTATCCAAATCTGATCTGCAGTGCAGCTGTGTAAATAGTTTCACGAGCGAAAAGTATGGGAGGAAAGGAGGGTGGGAGGTATGAGAGACTGGAGGTGCACTGAACCATGGCTGTTAGCGGTAGCCACAGCTTACATCAGCTTCAGCTGAGGGTTGGATATAACTTCCTCCAGTATCTTGTTGTTCCAATTTGTGGTGCCTTTCCATGAGTGTTATCTTATGTTCATTTTTTGGCTGCATTTGCATTTTGTCTGAAGATGGAGTAAAAGACCTCCTGTATAAGAGAAGCAGGAAGATAAGAGGAAAAGGAAAGTTGTTTCATATGTGTGTTTGTGTATGGGTGGTTATTTGGTATGTTTGTTGGTGTTTTGGTGTGGATTTGTGGTTTTAGTTTTTTGTTTGTTTGCAAGCTGTTGTGAACTGTGCTGGCATCTAGCCACAGAATAACAATCTTGAAACGTAAACAAAATTTCATAATTTCTTGCTTGTCCCAGCCTTTTGATTTCCCAAGCAGTGTGACTTTGACACTCTATCATGGTGCCAGGCATTTGGATCAAGAAACAGATAGCATGGGTTTGGAAGGGAAATGTTGGATAACTCAATCTAATCATCTGCTATTAGACTGGCACGTTGTATACACATCTGTCTTTTTTAATGCTTCATTTCTAAAATGAAGAAGTAAAGAGAGTGGATTCTTTACAAGCAGGTTACCTTTTGTGATAGATTCAAAACAACAAAAAAAAAAAAAGATTCAGATTTATTAATTGATTTGTCACTGCAGTTCCAGCAATATATGACTCTGTTTCCATGGCAGAATGTGATGTGCTGTTTTACTGGTTCAATATTTTGTTTTTAGAAGATTGCTAAATATGTCTTTTTAAATAATTCATTACTTAAGTCATATTAATTTTCATTTGCGTAATTACCGCACCAGATTATAGTGTGTCAGCTCTTTCGCTAACTTGTATGTCGTAAAAAAATAAATAAATAAATAAAAAATTACTGCACTCTTTTTAAGAAATAGGAGTTGAGTATTTGTAGAATAGATTAAAGACTAAATAGAAAAAATCCAAGTAATAGCTGAATTAATTTCCCTGTATGATAAACATCCTGTATCATTAGCATGTGCAAGCGGTGTAAAATATAAGAACCATACTTTCCAGGATAAAGCCCAAACTGATCTTTACATGTTTAATTTGTTTTGTCACAGTCAAAACATTGTTCAGTTTGCCTTCTAGAACAAGGTTATCCTCCTTTTTTTTTTTTTTTTTTTTAATAATTATTTTTCTCTATGCGTACCTATCTTGGTAGGATGGGAAACAAGTTGAGGTGTCTCACTGCAGACCAAGAGGCATGTGTTTGAGCCTTGCCCTTGATTCTTGCAGGCCCAGCTCTAAATGGATACGTATTTTTTCAGGCTTGGTGTACCTGAGACATCCTGCTGCAATGCCAGGCACATTGCCCTCTTCACTGCTGGGCTAAAGAAACAAAACCTTAACAGATGAGTCACGTAACACGGAAGATGACGGTTGTGTTCGTATTTATAAAGTAGCATAAGTCTCCCAGCATACCCACCTTCTCAGACAAAGAAAGAAGAAAATATTGTGTGACAAGCATTGTGTCTTGTAAAAGCCCACAGTGGTCCTGTTTAAATATGCCATGGGGTTCTTCAATTAGTTAAATACAGAATTGAAGAGACCTGAGAGAGGTGATAGTGTATGCTTGTGTACCAAGAACAGATGCAATGCAGTGGTGTGGTGTAAACAGTTTTGTTGTGCTGAATGCATTCCTCTATTGTGGTTTTCAGGCGTTGCTTGGGCAGGTCAAGAGAGCTATAAAGCGTTATTTGAACTGGGATGTGAGAGCACAGATTCGCAGCAGCGGGTAAGCTGCACAGCATATCCAACAGCTGTGGAACATGGGAAAAACTGCTTCAGAGATTCTCTGCCCATTAAGGGGGTTGTCAACACCGGTCTCATTCTCACCAAAACCTTGGGGAAGTGTCCTGAATTTTCAGCTAGTGACCCACAGCGTATAGCAGCAAAAAAAGCCTGTAATAATAGGCTATCAAGTTCCAACTCTGAAACAGAATGCTGCTTACTCTGAATTCTTTGCTTATTCTATTTCACACTGTGATCTTGTCAGGTCCCCTGAGCGTGGCTGCTGCCACACCTTTTCTGCAAGTAGGTGGAAGACCTTGTCAGAGTAGGAGCAGGGATGAAAAGCCTCATGAAGTACGAAGAGTACTTCAGGGAATGGTCTGTTTTGGCAGACGGTGCTCGTGTACATATGCTAGTACTGAAAATATGTCCCCATATAATGCCTGGGTTGTTGAATTACTGATGGTGATGTCTTGTGGGAAGAAAAAAAAACAACAACAACAAAAAAAAAAAACAACAAGCCACTAATCTCTTGTATTCATTGTGAGTGGAAGGATTAGCTATTATGTGGTAGCTCAATTACGAGTAGTCTATATACACACCTCCGTCTAATTATGCTAATTACTGTAGCATTGCTCATTTCCTGAGCTATTGTTCTGTGCAATGTCTGACAGCTGGCAGGTTCTGCTCCAGAGATGGCTGAATTTGACCTTGGGGAGAAATGTTTCTGTTCTGATTTCTGTTTTCCCAAGGATGAGGCTTTGTGACCTCCCTTCTTAGCACTTGACAATAAAGCCTCACTTTCTTGCAGCTTGCCCTTGAATGTGATGTAGAGTGATATCTGGCTCTATATGCTGTGTTTAACCCCGAAGGCGACTGCTGTGCTTACCAAACTCTTCAGTTTCTGACTGTTTTTTTCTCTTTATTTCACTGCAGGCTGGAAGTCCAACCTCTATCTCTGCTCCTCATAGTTTCTCTCGGACTTCTGTTACACCATCCAATCAGGACATCTGCAGGTAAAGTGTGATGTTTGCATGGCTACAGCAAGGCTCGTGCAAGATTCAAGTTGAGAAAAAACAAAACTGAAAAAGCATGTGTATGGGGAAGTAAGCAACACGGGGTTCTGATCTGAAGCATCCCATTTGTTTGACTCAACTGCTTTCTAACACTGCTTCATTGAATCCCACTGACTGTTTGGCCCGCTACATATGACATTCCCACACTAGCTGTAATTCTCATTTCTTCACTTTTAATTACATGTTCTCTTATGTAATTGTGTTTTACTTTCTGTGCTTTTATTCCACTGTTCTGCATGCAGTTCCAGTGCAGTGTTTTCTGAATGTTGTCATCACAGTCCAGTGCAGTCTGCTGTTGTCTTGAAAAATCCTCACTGCCAGAGCTCTCTGACACAAGGGGTCACTGTGACAGTAATCTGTCAGGACACGTTACATGCAGCAAAGAGAAACTCCCGTGGGCAGGATCGGGGCCAGGCACTCAGGTCTGCTAAGAATATAAAGCCCACCCGCACCATGAAATTCTCCAAGTCCCTCAATGACGTGGACCAGAAGGCACAGAGCACCAGTGAGTGCTTTGACTATGTGGAGCGAACATGCTCAGAAGGCAAACTGACCCCGACTCAAGAGCAGTATTTGAGGATTAACAAATTTCATCTTAAAGAGAGGAAATCGTTGAATCTCAGGCCTCTTTCTTTTAGCAATTCTAAGCACTCCTACATCCCTTCCCTTTCCAACTATTCGAGTGCATCGGGAGGAGCAGAGAACCGCAGCGCTGTACACATCCCCTTGCTGGAGGACAAAGTGGACCATGACACCTCAAGAAGCAAAAAACTGTTGCGTTACCTTTTTTCCTTCTCCCACAACTCTAGCACCAGCAGCCTGCATAAGTTCCATGAACTGGAGAGCTATTCCAGTCACTTTCAAGCTGAAAAGTCCTCCAGCATGCTGGTGGAAAGCACGGACTTCTGCTCTGATGATATGGGAGATGATGACGTCTTTGAGGACAGCACCTCAGTGAAATTGAAAACAAAAGAGCAGCGGGCACCGCTCTGTTCGGTTGAGAAGGACAGTGACCTTGACTGCCCTTCCCCTCTCTCAGAAAAATTCCCCCCTGTCTCCCCTGTGTCTACATCGGGGGATACCTGCAGGTTGGTTTATTGGAGAACCGCCGACCTTCGAGCCCTCCCGTGTGCGGTGGTGACCATTCTGCTTTCCCTGCCTTTGTGCTGTTTGTCTCTTCCTTCATCCTGTCACCTTGCTTTAATTTGTGCAATTTGAAGCATGCAACCTTCTCTCTGCTTCCTTTAACCCCTCTGATGCACTTAACAAGTCTACTAAACAAAATAATTTCCTTGGGAGTCAAATAAATTGTCTTCAATTTGTTTCAGGTTCAGGGTTCTGAGGCTGTATTTTTCTCTCATCGGTGCCCAAACTGGGAATATCATGAGAGAATCAGCCACGCATACTAAAGGCCAAGCTGAAAATTCATTGGCTTTTTATGAGCAATGTGTTTTCCTGACAGCCACTGCTGGTTTGTGTCAGAGGGTGGGAAATGAGGAGGAAAAGAGGCTCCTTGAACATTGGTTCTGAGATCAGTTCCATATAGCTTAAGACTGTTTTCTTGACTTTTTACCTCCCAGTTTGTATCCCACTACGCTGTTTTATTCATAAAGAGCTTTCTGGATGCCTTTGATGAAAGGGAGACCTAAGCACTGGGTGCTAGTGATGAGCCCATGTGATGTCTGTAGTATGGGGTCCAAAAAGGATGGGGTGTCCTTGTTCTAGCTACAGAGGATTAATCATATATGCAGGTGGTCAGAACATGCTACTCTGGACTGTCTTCGTGGTGAATTGTCTGCAGGTCTGCCCCATCTCAGCTCCAAAGAATGTCTGAGGAGCAGGAGACACCAAGTACAGGAGTAACTGTCACATCCTTCTACCTAACATTTTACTGTCCTAATCTTTCTCCTCCCTGACACCACTTTCTGAAGCTGGCTGTGTTACTACCTGCCAGTTTTTGGTGCCCCCCCTCCCCCACTACACCACGTTACCAGCAATATGTAGTTCCTTACTGGCTTGTCATCAACAAGATGCTCTTGTAATCTGCCTACTCCTTCAGTCCCACTTGCTAGCTATCAGCAAGGTTGTGAGAGGCAAGATGCTACACATCAGTAAGAGATTTCAGTAATAGACAGGGATGGCAGCATGCCAGGATGTACTTCACATATGCTTAGTAACTTATTTTCAGTCCCTGAGCTCCTTACCATCCCCCTTTCAATTCATGACCACTTCCGCGTGGTTAGAAGGAGTTAGTGGTGTCTGATGCAGCCCAAGTGCTGTGTATAAATTAAAGCTGGAAATCAAATGCCATCACCTGGCAGTAGCACTGTATCAGGTGTCCCTTCTGTCTGCATGGTTAGGCAGTAAGGGAAATTGGGAATTTTGCAGAGCTGTTCCTTCCTTAGCAGCTCTTGCAAGGTAGGAATTGAAGAGCAAAGCCATTAGTCCTTTTAGAGTAGGTGTATTTGAGGAAAATCGATGCTATAGCTTTGCAGCATGGTTCTGTTTCTTAGCAATTGGCACCAGAAATAATCATTTCCCTTGTGCAAAATCCAGGCTAAATTAACTCTTCATGATACTGGGTTGGGCTTTTTCACAATTCATTTGGGATTTTTGTTTCATCTTCTGTGTTAGATCATAATCCATGAGTAGCTAGCAGTGCCTCTGCATATTTTGTCTTGGGAAGTGCTGTCTGATCTGTTTAAATGCTATTTTCAGTTAAGTGCTATTGTTCTGGTAGATGAAGGGTTGTCGTTTTGTACATGTTTTTTTTTTTCTTTAGGATACCAAATTTCTGTCAGGCTCTGTGTGTCCGCCTCATCTATTAGTTAGCTGTGTCTGCACTCAATTATTTTGCGTGTATGTGTGTGCTTGCGCAGCAAGGGAGTTTTCTAGTTCTAGCTCCTTTATGAAAGACGTTCCTTTGATATGTATGTCTTAGGATCCTCAACGGACAGCCGTGTGTGATCACAGATATTACATGCCTCTTTCACATCCTTTCTGCTTCCTCTTCTAATGAGCAGCTTTGCTTCTGATTCAGGATATGTCACTGTGAAGGAGATGACGAGAGCCCTTTGATTACCCCCTGTCACTGCACGGGAAGTCTTCATTTTGTGCACCAAGCCTGCCTGCAGCAATGGATCAAGAGCTCAGATACGCGGTGCTGTGAACTGTGCAAGTACGAGTTCATCATGGAGACAAAACTGAAGCCTTTGCGAAAGGTAGGCTTTGTTACACATGCATCCATGCTGAAAGAAGGTTGTCCTTGCCCACAGTCTCACAGAACCAACGTATTTATCATATTTCTATGGCTCCTTAGTAAATCTGGTCAGTTTTGTATAGGTGCAGAATTTAAATTGCTTAACACTCAGCCTCGCAAATTCAACATCGATGGAATCCAGCTCTGAGAGGCGGCATTTTTCTGCTTTAACCTTTCTCATGATATTTCTGCTTTGAGAATTCAAGGTGGGAATCCTGTTCAACTGCCCAACCTGAAACTGAAAATGAGTTCCAGCCCTTTCTCTTGTTGCATTGCCCCACATCTAACAGGAAAAAAATAATTGAGATTTATTGTAGCCCAGCAGCTCTCTCTGTGTAAATGTACGTACATACGTGCTTGCTCATGCGTATGTGCATGCAGCAACCTGTTTTTTCACTTCACATTTGCATTTCTGAGCTAATGCACAAAGGCATTTGCTTTGCAGTTATCCATATTGTTGTTTTTTTATTTCTTGAAAGACTGAGCTTTGTATTACTTCGTATGTACTGAGGTCTACATGGCTTTTAAATTCTTTTGAAAATATGAAGATCTCAGTTTAAACTTCTTTTAAATCATACATTCTGAATATAATTCGGTTGAAATTTGTAGCATTTTTTATCAAGAACCTATTTTAGTGTAAGTAGAAGAAGGTTCATGGATAAATGTTTTATCTTTTCTTTGTGCGTGACTAAGTTTTAATACTTCAGGTTGCTAGAACCTCTGTTTTTGTTTTATAAAATAGGATACCTTTAATAAATCTGGTGATTTAAAGTATACGTACTTAAACACTACTTGTAATGTAAGTCCAGTTTGGTGCTTGAATTCTTTTGTTCATGTCCTCCAAGCTTTCAAATTCAGTTAATCCTTACCATTGTGATTTTGAGGTGGAAGTCACTGGTATTCTTAGCACAGACAAATTTTGCCACATCTACCAAAGTGAAAGAGGTTAATAGAAATAAACTTAGTCTGGAGCTCGAATAAATGAGACGTCACAATCAAATATGATGATCTTAAATCATATAGGGTGGGAAGTCTAGACAGCAGCCATCTGAAAGCTACTGTGAGAACTTCTCCAGTTTCCACAACTAACTCCTAACAGAAAATGGAACATAATTCAAACACTTCTTTTTTTTTATTTTTTTTTATTTTTGTTTTAAGTGGAGGTGTGCAGTTTGCAGTATATATAGCATAGCGTCTCCTGTTGATAGGACGACCTCTGCTTATGACTCTGCTTATGGAGCAAATCATTGCATTTGAAGAACCGTAGCTTTTTCCTTGGTAGCCCCCTTAGCACAGAGCATTGTCACTCTGAGCCGCAGTACTGGTTGCCATAGGTTCTGTTATTTCAACAGACGACTCTTTGCGCAGCCCATTCATAGCGCATGAAAGAAATTATTCTAGAGAAGCCCGAGTAAAAAGAGGTGCTATAGGTGCCAATTAGCTGCTTATTCTTCTATGTTCACTCTGCCTGGAGTGGGCAGGGGAAGCATTTTGTGCATATTTGTGAGAGAAAGCTGTTGGGCACCTTCAGAAATGAGTCATTTGGCATCATTAGTTATATCTGAACAGGTCATCCATGGAAGAGAGACCAGATGCTAGAAGGATAAGAAGGAATTTACCTTTCAAATACGTCTAAAGAGTCCTGTAGAGGTTCAGCTGCAGCCAGAAGACAAGCTGCCTCTGCATCTTCAACTCACCCTTTCTGGTATCCTGTCAGTGGGGACAAAACAGTGTGGAACTGGTGATTATGAACAGGATGGGACAAATAACAGGGCTTGTGCTTAGTTGTAGGGTAGAAATGGAATCTAAAATCCTCAGCATCTTAAGGCTGTATTGCATCACTGTCTATTGGCCTGTGGCGTGTTCAAACAGTAAGTTACAAAGGGAAGAGAATGAGGAACAAATTATTTCATGGTACAAGTGAAAGTGAGGAGAGAGAGAGAGAGAAGCTTCATTTTTAAATTTAATGAGAAAAAAAAAAGACAATTAGACCTGATTTTTCTGTGTTTTTATTATTATGATTATTATTATTTTGTTTGTTCTAGCAACACTTTAAAAAAAAAAAAATATTGAGTGTTGTGAAATGCCATTTGCTCTGTCATCAGAACAGTGCACCAGGGGCTTCCAGATTCTAGTTTCCAGTTGGGGATGGGGCAGAACAAATAATTTGCAGAACAGCTTCTCTGATGTGGACTTGTATTGATGGAAGAGATGAAGTGATGTGGGTTGGTTTGGTGACTCCGATGGCAGCAGTTCACAGAAGATACAGTCTAGCCGAGGTGCTCTAGCTGCAGAACCAAAAAGAGGAGCATTAACTAGTCAAAATGCAAGACCTTGTGACTCTGTAAGAGTCTGTAGAAACTAAACATCTTTGTTTAAATACAAAATCCAGTTCTTACTTAAAACATAGCATCCAAAGGGAATGTTTTGTCCAGTCTTTTTCTAAGGAAGTTGAAAGAATATAATTTCCTAGCATGGCACGAATCCTTAACATCATTGCTAGAAGTCTTCAGTTCTTGTGCCGTAATGAGACTTGGATGCCCACTGATGTAGAAATATGGCTTGAACTAGCCAAAGACATTATTGGTAAGACAGAGGATCACAAAGTCTCTGTTTTGTGGTTCAACCATTCTTGCATTTGAAGCACTGGTAACAATAATTCAACATGATGGGTGATCTCAGTCGTATCAGTAAGGTCATCCTCATTATCTTCCACACTTTCCCTCTTTTTCAAAGTCAACTTTTTCTATGAGTTATTTCAGGAGACATCAAATGCAGCTCTCTGTTAACACATGGGTATGTATGAGAAGCTTAAGTACCCTGGTATATATTTTGTGGAAGTGTGAGGGGAAAAAAACACAAAACACCTTCACACTTTGTTCCAAGCAAATACACTGAAGGATGTGTAATAAACCTGCAAAAGCTTTCATCATATAGAGAAAATGCGTTTAAAAACAAAAACAAACAAACAAAAAACTTCCAGGTGCCATTGGTTAATAAATAAATAAAAGCTGTTTTTGAAAATTTCCATGTATTTTATGTTAGAAGCATCTATAATAATTGTCTACATTCTTTCTATCCTTCCTAAATGTCAGTGACCTGACTTTGTGGTTTCTATTGCGGCTGTGAAGACATTGCTGAAAGATGCAGGTCTGGGGGTTTAACTTGATGCATAATCTCACTTTCTAAAGCTGTTAGCCCAGTTCTGCTGTATATTCTTAGGGCACGTGTTTAAGTGCACTTGAAACACTGAAAATAAAATATGGGTGTTGCTGCTGTAAGTAGCGTTAAATATACGTGAAGATAGAATGAAACCTCCAGAGGTAGGAGGTGAGAACTAAACAGCCTTGAGCTGAGAGCTAAACAGCCTTGACTGTGCACCGGGGGACTCTTAACAGCTCAGAGTGAGATATCTTACACGTACTGGACAGTTGGATCACGTACTACTCTTACTGCTGTGCGTTATTGAATGCCTGCCTGAGCAAGGCAGCCCTTTCGCCCTTCAAGATGTTCATTTTTGAGTGTGAGTGCCTGCTGCTCAGTTACGAACGCACTGAGAAGCAGCCTTGCTTGTGGATCCCTCTGTGCTGGAGCCTGTGTGGGTGAGCAGGGTGTGATGACTTTGTGCCGAGGCTCCAGGTGAGAGTTGAGCCCTGATGTTCCCGTCCTGCACCAAGACCGATTGTTCCTGTCACAGCAGAGCAAGCTGCCAGCCATCACGCGCATGCTGTGGTCAGGACAGTCGTCGTGTGACTTCTAAAACTGGTCTGCTGTCTGGTTTTGTTCTTATCAGCGTTTGGTTTTTATACTCTCTGTTAACTGTGATAAACACTTAATCTTTTGCTCTGCTTCTGGATTTCTTGACAGTGGGAGAAGTTACAGATGACAGCCAGCGAGAGGAGGAAGATCATGTGCTCTGTGACATTCCATATCATTGCCATCACCTGCGTTGTGTGGTCTCTGTATGTCCTCATAGACAGGACTGCTGAAGAGATTAAACAGGGACAGACTACTGGTATGTTACTCAGTTATCTTCCCACTTATTCCCTTGGAATAATTATTGATCCTGAATGCAGAGAGGGTGTACAACATGAGTGTGCAGGTAATGCTTTTACTTAGATGAGGCAGCTTTAGCCTGAGGTTGGGTTGGGTTAAAAGCAGTTTTTAAATGATTTAGTTAAATTGGTGTAAATTTGTCTGTGGGTGCTTTTAAGTCTATTTCATAGCAATTTCTTTTGCAGTTATGAAATGCACAGATATGGGAACCAATCCACTGTAGCAGATACAAAATTGCATTGGCTTAGCTAATGTAGTTTTCAACTGCAACACTTACTGAGCAGATAGGGATGTAAGCATTTGTTTGCTGCTATGGCTACCTTTAGCTGAGCAAACTGAGAACAGTTTAAAAAAAGAGAAGAAGAAAGAGGAACCTAAATCCAAATCTTTGAGCCAAACTAACAGGATTAGTCTTTCTATTCAGCCATCTGTGAGATGGGTTAGCACAAGTTTCCTGTGAGAGACATGTTCAGCTGGAGAAATTGTAATTAGTGGTTGTACATGAAGCAGAAGAAATTCAGGTTGATTTTTAGGACTCCAATTCATGCAACTGAGATGAGACACACTGCAATTCATGCAGTGGTTGCCACCCCACTGCAAGGATGTCTTAACTTCTTGAATAGTAAGTTTTATTCAGAATGCCAGCTGTAAACTTACCAAATTGAAATCTGTTTACCTTGGTGTGCTGGGCCATGATTTCCATCTGTTGTAGAATGGTTTCTCAGGCAGCTGAGCTCCCCCTGAAGGCAGGGATAGGAGGGACAGGGTGTGTAACAAGGCTGGGAGCGATTGTGGCTGTTTCAAAGTAAACTGTACTGGCTTGCAGAGCACTGGATGCCAACTTGATAAGCAGTTGGAGAATGCTTAGCTTGTGGTTGAAGAGCATCATCTGTGGAGGTAGCTGAGCATCAATAAACCTGCAAACCCACAGAGCCGTTATTCTTTTCAGAACAGAATCACGCTTAAAACAGAACTGTTTTGAATAATTTTTAATTTTAGCTGTAGTTTGATTGTTCATAGCTTCAGTCAGGAAGCTGCTTTGAATGAAAGCTTGTAGTTTGTGTTCTGTCCAACACTTTTTTCTGTGTATGGTAAAAATTGTTGTTCTTTCAATGTAAGGTTTCCATATAATAATGAAAAGCATATGCTGTCAAAGATTTGTAGTCTTCAGGTTATTTTAGCAAATAAATATATTAGATGAACATGACTAGGAAGAGTAGCGGAATGTTTAGTACGTGTTACAATGCTGTCTTTGCTCCCTTCATTTGGATTCTAAATCTGGGGAGTGCTCTGAGGAGCTGGGGTGCATGTGGGGAGTGTGCATACATTTATGAATTCATGTCTGCACAGTGGCAAGCGTAGGCTATTGCTGCCTACAGATAGCATCAGATAGCTCACCTGTGAGTCAGAGGTTCAGATATTAATCACTGGTGGGATTTCATCAGTAGTCATGTTGCAGTGCCCTTTGGGTTTGGGGACTAAAATATTTTCCGTCTTCTCACACTACCATGCATTTCCAAAAGAACAGCGGCCTGCACATTGGTAAAAACTTTGAAGACTTGCCTGTGATTTTGCTATGCTGCTGCTGATTCCGTGAGAAACCTGGAAGTGTGTGATTCAGTGTGGTTTCATATCCATCTTGTGATGCTTATCTTTCAAGAGGAGAGAGACTGAGTGGATTCAGGACCTATAAAAGAAGAAGATGTATAAAATATGTAATCCCTCATTTAAATGTAGGCGATAGAAATGTAACAAGATCCAGTGGCTGAGTGTTCAAGCCACACAAATTCAGGAAAAGTACAGGTGGTTGTTCTTAATATGGCAGATAAGCTTGCTAGAACACTTCAGTATCTTCAACACTTCCCATTTTGCACCAGAAGAGATGCTGTAGTTCAACTAGAAGATACTGGGTCTGATGAGGATAAAATTGTCTGCTCATTCAACATGTTATGTGAACTCAACTAGCTTAGAAGCCTGCATATGTTTAACTTAAAGGGAGAAACAAGGCAAAAAAAAAAAAAAGGCAGAATACAAACTCTGTGATAGTCTCCTTAAGGAATGTTTTTGAGAGACGCCATATTGTCTACCCAATATTGACCTGGTCCTTTTTATATATTCATTTTTTTTTCTTTCTTTCTTTCAGGGATTCTAGAATGGCCATTTTGGACTAAGTTGGTGGTTGTGGCTATTGGTTTCACTGGAGGACTTCTGTTCATGTATGTACAATGCAAAGTGTACGTACAGCTATGGAAGAGACTTAAAGCTTATAACCGAGTAATATATGTACAAAACTGTCCGGAAACTAGCAAAAAGAATATTTTTGAAAAACCTGCACTAATGGAGCCAAACTTTGAAAGTAAAGAAATGCTTGGGGTTCACCATTCAGATACAAACTCTTCACGTTACACAGAGCCAGAAGACTGTGCTGCAGAAATCCTTCACGTCTGACTGCTGGGTGGGATGGGTGTTTCTGTATGTCCTTGAAGATTTAAAATATCATTGTTTACTGCAAACTGCTCTACCTTTTTAAAATTGGCTAACAGCCGACGGCTGGCAGATGAAGTTTTTTACATTTGCGTTTTGTGGGAATTTTTTTAAATCCCTTTGGCGTATCTGTCAATGTTATCATGGTTGCATACCTCTCAACGTTTCGTCTCACGTACTGGGCTGATCAAAGAGCCACAGGTTACTGAGTAGAATGAGCCTTGGTTGTGGTATTAAGCAAGCCGCTGGTGAACTGTCATCAACTTCATGGAGTCTGTTACTTTAGAAGATGACTCTAAATGATTCTGGAAGACGTGTAGAGTGTTGGTTGTTGTCTTTTTTTCCTGTCTTGTGTTTTTTTTTTCTAAGCAGGATGAAGGAGGCTGTCCCAGAAACTGAGGGAAATGAGAAAGCTAGAGTCTAATCTACTGCTAACACTGCCACTAACATTTTGTCTTAGGCAGCAAGTGTAAAATTATGCTTTACATATTGTGATGAGACTCATAAAGCATATAGCACTTTTAAAAATCTTTATTTTGTAATATGTATGTCCAATGAGAATGAAACTTGAAAGAATGTGTCATTTTTCAGAACATTTCTTCATTCTCTACCCCATCCATTCTACTGAAACGTAAACCTCTTGCCTTATTTAAAAAAAAATTAAAATTCCAACCTGTGATTTCCAACACATGAACACATTATCTTACTAAACATAACACTAAACTGCCTCTTTGGGTTTCCTTTGAGGAACAATGTGTTTTTCAAAGAATGTTGCACTTGTGACTTGTGTTTGGGAAGTAGTGGATGTGTACAGTGTTTGTTTTCAATGCGTAATGGTTTCAATGCTCTGGGGATTGGTTTTGCTTTTTTTTTTTTTTTTTTTTTTAACAGGTCAGGCCATCAACAGACCTGCACCTATATACCTGATGTAACTTTCATTCCAAACCATTGGTTAAGATTTTGTTGGTATATTAGTAAAAATGTGAGCTGTTATGGAAAAAAGATACTTAGTCAATACAGCTGAAATTGGTTTTCCTTCTTTAGTGCTGTGTCATGTGTGAATTACCCGAGAATTTGGCATTGTGAGGGGAAGTACTAAGTTCAAAGTTGAGGAAGTGAATATTACATTTAGTGTATGAATTTAAACATGGTTTTAGTCCTGAGGCGATGAATTACATGGTCAGAGAGTTGCTTTGGCTATTCCTTTGAATTTGGGACTTCTTTTTAATCAGTCAGCTTTAACAAAAAGAGGGGCAGTGTTAAAATCTGTTTGCAGAGCTTTAGACAGACTTACCCATTTACTTGACCGTTCTGCTTCACTGAACCACTGTCCAGTTTCAAGTCATTTAACCAAAGTCTCACATCAGTGTGACTGGGGCAGGTCCGAAGCCCCACTAAAACTCAGCACATGAGGCTTCTGCATCTGAAAGCTAACTTTCTCTACCAGAGCCTAGTCTAAATCTCTGTAAAGTCAATGATAATTTTCTGATTGGTATTAGTAGGAGTTGCCTGGACTTCTCAGTTAGGTAAAAGCTTCTGCTTATTTACTGAGATACTGATTTAAATCCTGAGGTCCAGTTCAGGTTTTACTTTGTCCTTTCCAAGTACAACTTTAATTGGGCATAATCTTTTCATACTAAAATTAGTTGCTTTAACATATCCCAAAGAATAAGAGATCAGTGATTTATTTTTTTCTTAAAATGTAATATTAATTTATTTCTAAATTAATCTTAAAAAAAAAAAATGCCTCAGAGGGGTGTATGGTAAGAGAACACACACTAAGAGCTGTTAGAAGAAAAGTGTGTGCGTGCCTCTGTATGATCTCATGCTTGAAACTTACTGGCTGTGATCTTCATGAACAACATGGTACCTTGTTCCTGAAATGTTTTAAAATATTAAGACTTCTGGACAGTCCTAGCAAATCTGCGCTGGCATGGGTTTGCATACTGTGTGAGGTGTCAGGATATCCCATACTTATGTGATAAAGGCAGAGAAGCCCTGCTAGTACCTGGGCAGCAGTCTTCATGGCCACGTTCATGTAGAGTTTGTTGCCTACACCTGCCATATTTTAAAGTGCAATTACTTGGACCCTTTGCTGAACTCCACTGTGGATGATCCTGCTCTGAGAACTCAGATAGATAACATTGAGTCTTGGTTTGGTTTGTTTTTTGTTCTGTGAAAAGGTTTACTGGATAATCTCAGGTGGGTTGATCAGGTCTTATACACCTTCATCGTTTTCTTCTGAAATGCCCAAGTGCACACGACTTTCGTGTCTGCAAGATGCACAGAATCAGCTGCAGACTGATGCTGTGTGTGTTCTCATCTGATCTGTGGCCACTAAGGAAATGAAATGAAAATGGACAAGTTCTGGTATGAAACCTGTGTGTGCTCCAGCTCACATCTGAGAAACGAAAGTGTCTGACTGATGTTCTGACAAGCACCAGTATGGCATACTGTAAGATGCTGGTCCTGTTTCAATCACTGTCACAAATGATTCTTGGTGAAGCATTGTGAAATCTCATTTGGCATTTTGGAAGCTCCATGCAACATATGCCAGTTGGTGTTCCGTGTATTCAGGATGCTGAAGTTTTGTTTTGTTTGTTTGTTTTTTCTGTAACCCTATGTATCTTCAACTTGGGAAGAAAAACCATCTCTAGTAAAATCTTCTGGGGAAAAATAATTGCAGATAAAATTGTTTTAGCCAGTGTTGCTGCTTACCGTTCCCTTTCCACAGTAGCTTTTTTTCTGAAAGAAAAGCATAGTATTTAATTCTCTATGCTACTGAGGATTGCTTAAACCAGCAGGAGCTGGTTTGAACCAGAAGAGATCCATCTGTCAGGATTTTTTGTTTATGCTGATCACGCTTGCGCTAATTCTTGCCTGATGTTAACAGGGGGCTTCTGGAGCTGCAGTTCTCTGCTTCTGCATGGTGCTATCAAATGGTATAAGAAGGCTGAATGGTGCTTTTTCTTTCTTCCTCCTTAAGGAGATTCTGTTGATTTGTTTTCAGCTTCTAGCTGTGAGGCACTGATGCTAGCTCAGGTGAGCACCGTCCTTTCTGCCCAGTGTTGGTAAGGGAAGCGATCATGCCCCCCATCACACCAGGCATTCCAAAGCTTCCTTTTGGTAGCTTTCGAAATGACAAATAAAGTCTGACTTTTCTGGTCCTTGTCCTTTCCCCAGGATTAGCTCAGATTACCCGTGACTTCCCTGAGATGAGAATTTAAATAGGAGGGAACATAGGCTCAATACCATCTACCACAGCCCCTTTGCTAGATTGCCAGAGCCTTTACTGGTATGGCCCAGATGTCTGACCAGACTCCCTTTGCTATTGACTCTTAAGTCCTGTCCAAAAAATCACTGACTATGCCAAGGAAATCTCCCTGCTATGTCGTGTTCAGCGCATCTGCCAGGTCATGAACATGTGTTGTGTCAGAAATACAGGCATATGCTGCATAAGATTGCTTCACTTTATGAAAAGATCATGAAATGTTAAATTACTATGATTTCTCAGGACTTTCTTCAACTGTAATCCAGTATTTTGGGGAGGGGGTCAGTGTTTAAAATGTTTCCCTGGGCTCTGAAGAGGTGGCCAGTTCGACCACCATTACCTGGTGAATGTCATTGAGGTTGGCCTTGCTTCAGCAGGAGGGATTCAACAAAAATTACACCAAGCCTGCAAGGAGCTAGACAAGTCCTGGCCCTCTGTCCCACAGCATGAGAAGTCCTGGGAATCAATAGTAACAACCTGTCCAGCCCTCCTACTGATCAGGGCATCCAGACTACTTGTGCTGGTGCTGTATCAGGTGCAGATTCCTTCTGCCCTGTGTTTTCTGGGTAAGTATCTATTGCAAATTGGGACTCGGCTCCCCTAAAGCTGAGGCGTGTTAAGATACAGATTTCCAGCGTAGTCTGCTGTGGAGGTTGCGGCCAGCAATGAAAGGGAGGTCTGTGTTTCTGATTGGGTCCCTCTCAAATATGGGTGAAACAGGGCAAATACAAAAGCAAGGATATTGCTGGCTGGATTTTCGCAGCATTATATTAGATATGCAAAGAAAACTTCTAAACAGGACCTTTTATTTTGTGATTATTTTCTAGTTTTGAGATATTGCAGTGTCTGTATATTCCAATGAAGTACTGAAAGCACTTGTCTTTGTATAGAAGATAACTGTTTAAAAATTGCAGCTGATCTTGTACTTAGGTAAAACATTTGTAGATAGGTCATTGTATAACATTAAACAACTTTACACTGGCATGTGTTGTATAGTTTATACAAGACACTTCACAGTTCTGCAGAATTTTTTAGCTAGTAAATTTCTAGTAACTTAAATGTATAGTTTTGTATTCTTTCATGTATGTTCATTTTCTCAGTATTGCCACTTGCAGAATTATTTTTAGTTTCTTAAACTGTAATTGGTTATTTGTGTGTGATACACAGGGTTATTGACTGCAGCAATAAAGTGTTTCTATTAAAAAAAAAAAAAAAGAAACAGAACAAAACAAAATCAGCATAGTATCCATTTTGTTTCAAACAGCATTAGCAGCTGAGCCTGGAGAAAAGTTGAGCTTCCCAGTAGTGGGATGATCAAATGAAGTGAGTTAATTTCACCAGAGTGAACCCAGGACCGCATGGCTCTTCAGCATAGGGTGCCAACATGCAGTAGGATCCATGACAATTAGATGTCATAGATCATAAAAGGTTAGTTAATCACCAGAATAAGTGGGTGACTCCTTCATTGCAGTGAGAAGATAAAACTTTGTATAGGTGCTTTGGGGTCAGGTGTAGGAATTGTGGGAAGAGTTGTCTGTTCCATGCAGGAGGTGGAGAGAGGACTCCTGTGGGCAGTAAAATCTGTGGAGCTTCTTGAGTCAACGCTGAGTGTTGCTGTGAGTGATGTCTGATGTTGTCATTCTCATGTGCATTGGTGCCGAGCAGATGATGCTCGTTACACTGATTCATGTCTAAGAAGAAAGTTTGCATAAGCATCGAGTGGTGGACAATTGCAATAGCTGTTCATTGCATAAAGCATGACTGCAGTGCTATATGTGCTTTCATGGCAAGACCAAGCCTCAGACATGAAGCCTTCAGCAGTTTGTACAGAATAGGTTTCTAGCACCGGTATATCAAGGAAAACTGCTATATGCACTGATATGAGACAGCTTGTAACAAAAGCATAAGTGCCAAAGAGGAAATAAGATCTGGAAAATTGGCAGTAACAGACACAGGGCGGCGGGGTCTCAAAGAGACTCTTAATTTATCTTTCTTTTTAAAGAGTGACTAATTTTGAATTTCATTTCAGGTAAGAAATGGGAGGATATTTATTACTGCAGCCCTAGAGAGGTGTTTTTCATGCAAAGCAAAAATGTCTGTGTCCTGTATTCCTTAGTGAAGCACATCTGGTGATGGTACATGAAATTACTTGTATAAAGCTTACTAAAATGCACCAGCAAATCTTTTATACAAAAATACCTTGCTGGAGAGATGGTAAGTGAGATACAGGGCCTGCCATTTGATTGACAGTCTCTGGGCTAAAAAGCTGATAGGCTTCTTAAGGAGCAGAGCCTGTAGAGCTGTTTGGACTCTGGTTTTAAAACGCTTTTGGGATCAGGCACCTCAAGTTAATGACAAAATAACTTCTTCCCTCTTGCAAACCTCGCTTTGATCTGAGAGTCTTGCTGTCACTGTGTGAAGCGTGCCCATCTCCAAGGCAGAGCAGAGCAGTGGCACAGCTGTGGCTCCAGGGACTGAATTTTTCAGCTGACCTCAGGAGCTGAAGCCACGTGGTGAGTAGTGACTGTCAGCTGGTGGACAGCGTCGGTGTGACCTGCATCTTGCACCAGGACAGAGGGAGGCCATGTGAGGCAGCAGCAGGGGTTGGGAAGATCCACCTGAGTGTCTTCTAGGAGCTGTGGAGGTGTTAAATGGAGACTGCAGCTGCTGCCTCCCAGCTCCTCAGAAAACCAAGCCCTTTGAGAGCCAGACTTCTGCCTGCTAACCTGATCTGGTTGGACCTCAAGGAAAGAGGGCTGAGGGAAGCAGAGG